TCCGCGGATAACGAGGGATTACTGTATATGTCTGTAAGATTACCATTAGCTGCAACCTGTAAGTGTACGAACACTAGCAATGCAATTCGAGTCGAAATTCTCGTTTTTGTACTCGCTGCAAAGAGTCCCGTACAGCGTCTCCCCCGCGAAAATCGAATTACATTTGCCCGCACTCCGCGGACCGTCGGTCGGAATTGAAATCCTTAATTTTTCATACCGTCCTATAGCACGAGGGGATGCAGGGAAACGAAGTCCATCCGCGACGCGCCCGCGTAAACGCACAACGTTATAACACGCATCGCCCGCATTTCAAAACGTTTTATTTCTTACTGATGCATCCACACGGATCGCGTGGTTTCGATCGTTCGGACGAGCACCGCCTACTCATATGGTACGTACACGTACAGTGATTTATCACGTTATGATGTTGCGGTATCCCGTCCACGACAACGTACTACCAGTACGTTATCATACGCAACATATCGTGCGAAACCCACGCGTAACACGTACGTATCGGCTTTTCAACGGGAACACCGAACGTGCCGCGATGATGTGCGCTACGCGCGCGTCGACGACCCGAATATGACGCGAAAACCGTCGCGAACGAATCGCAAACGAAACCGGAACGGTACACAACGCCTGTTTGTTGTCTAATGAAAAGTCGAGTCGGGCGAGACTGAAGCCGATCGGCGGAGTGGTCGACTCAATTTCGCGGGCGGACCGATGAACCGTCTCCCCTAGTGTTCCGTGTGGACGAACAAAACGAATCGGATATCGCTGCACGTCGGCGTTACGGCCGCCGGTCGGCGGTCAACGCGCGAACATTTGAAAACAGTAAAACAGACGCCTAATACGTGGGTGCTTCGCGAGCGCCGGTTACAGTCTTCGGGAGGTTCCGCCCGGTCTTTTACTCTGTAGATCTCGTGACCTGTCACAATACGATCGCGCCGTGACCTCCCCTACCTCGCCCCCCCCCCCCCCCCCGACCACTACCGATAACCGAATCAGAACCGCAGCGATACTGTACCATCATCATCAGTCGGAGCAGCGTGTGCGCGTTAGTGAACGCGCGCTGTTGCACGACCAGCAGACGGCGACCCGGTCGAAACTGGTTTCCAATAATATATAATTTATAATAAGAAAAAAGAAAAAAAAACATCTCGGATATCATACACGAGCGGTAAACGTCCCACGATTTTTGGAAAGCACAACTAGTTCAGTAGGTCGCGGCGTAAGTCGGCGCGCGCGCACCGCGTACACGATATCACACCGCACCGGTGTTACGCACGAGGTCAGAACGGTGATGAGTTTTTCGCGCACCGAATCGTCCGCGACCGTTGTACGCAACGACGTGGCGGACGAAAAAAAAAACGTCGTCAAAACTACACGCTCGATTCGTGTTTGCGCATCGCGTGTGGATGACGCAATACTGTTTTATATTAATGTTGTTTCGAATCGACCTCTTCCGACGGTTCGGTTCGTTTAAAAGTACAATCGATTGAAGTGATCACCGCACACCTCAAGCCAAGAGTAGGTACGAACCGGGTCATCTTGTGTCCTTTAAATTTCACGGACCTCGCATCCGCCCCGATTATCTTCGATGTCCACCGCACGCACAGAAACGATAACGGGCGACCGGGACGGACGAAACCGATGCGAGATCGGAAAAAATTACGAATCGCGAATAAAAGTCGTGAACCACCGCTATCCCGCGTTCAAACAATCGCCGCCCCGTGTGTAAATCGTGTTCGTATTGATTGCGTACGCCGCGCCGCGCGCGTTGCAGCCGGATCGTTTATCGCGTAGACGTACACCGCGTAATCGTTTGCGGAAAAGAAGACGGCTGAAAACTGCTTTCGCTAATAAAGTGGACAATATTTCTCTGCCACGTGTATAATTTAAAAGAATAATAATAATAATAATAATAACAACAACAACCCGTACCGTAATATTATAACGAAAAGGCACACAAACTGTTTTCTTTTAACCGTAGCAATTTAGTTTCTCCCCTTGTAATTTTCCATTTCTATATTTTCATTTATTTATTTTTTCTTTTTTTATTCCATATACCCTGGAATAAATTAAACCGAACGTGTGCTCTCGCGAGCGGCGGCAAGGTTCCATGCATATTATATATGTGTATAGGTGTGCGTATAGGGGTATTTTTTTTTCATTTTAAAGACTTCGGGGAATTGTACAACACGCCGGCTTGTGCCCCGCGACTTACGTGCACGGCGGTAGCGGAGTAAAATTATTATTGTCGTAATGATTTTACAACGCCCAGACGTCGGGACCGCCGCGAAAATTATCGCCGAGCATTTATCTCGGCAAACGGCGCACAACTCGTTTGTCGGATCTCTCTCTCTCTCTCTCTCTCTCTCTCTATCTCTGTGTTTATATATATAATTTATAATCGCAGACCCTCGTTGTCGTCGACCCCTTTTTCCCGAACGCATTTCGTTTCGTTTCATATTTTTTTTTTTTTTTCGCTACCGCCACCGTCCGGCCGTATGGACACGGGATAACACGTACGCGCGCACTTACCGTTTTTCGGGACGCCCACGGATTCGCGTTGTACTCGTCGCCGTCACCCCCGGGCCAAAAATTTAGAGCGATCCGTCTCGAATCGGGGAAAAAAAAAATCCGATTCCGCATTGTATCCGCCACTATTGTGTTATTTTACACGTCCGTCGGTTATTATTGCGTTTTATTATTATTATTGCTATTATATATATTTTTTTTTGTCGTTTACTCACGTGTGCGCGCGTGTGTACGCAGGGCGAAAACGAGAGTGCGCGCGCGCGTGCGTTAAGCCCCCATTGTTTGTGCGGGCCTTCGGACAGACCCTCCTCCTCCGTCCTCGTGGTCGTCGATCTCTTCCCGGTCCGCGGCGCCCTTTGAACGCGTCACGTCCCCCGGTGGAAACAAAAAAAAATAAAAATAAAAATAAAGTAAAAATATATAAAAACGAAACAAAAACCGAATCAAACGAGAACGAATAACGCAGTTTCCGAGGGACGGGTGGCGGTGGACACCAGCGAAAAGCTCTCGGCGGAGTACGTTCACGTGGAAACGTACGAAACAGGTACCCGCGCGCGGGTTTTGTGGGAAGACTAGGTATACACATACGCCGTACACTCGCGCGATCACAATGGACCAAGAGAGCCGTTCCCCGTTTATTTTTATTTTTGTCTTCTTATTTAATAGCTACTTTCTAGCGCATACAAACATTTTTGTCGAACGGTCTCTCTCGGCGCGCCGGACACAAACCGTCTCATCGTTTAGAAAAAAAATAAAATAAAAATAATAACGTGACATATACCAAAGGTAAAAGAATCCAGTCGAGAATGGGCGACGGAGAATCCGTGGTGTGTGCACATCACTCCACCGCGCCGCCGCCGGTAGTTACCGGCACCGCGACCGTTTCCACTTACCCGCAGCATCGCGTCCCACGGCCGCGTACGTACGCATACGCGTTTAGTGTTTAGTGTCCGCGGTGGGTTACGTGCACACGACGGATACGACGACGACTACTACTACTATTACTACCGCGACGGGTTTGAAAAACTAAGCCCGGCCGCCGCCTCGGCTATTCAATAATGAACGCGCGCGCGCACTCGCACTCTCCTCCGGAGAGGACACGCAGGTACATATTTACATATGAAAAAACCGAACGCGTACCGCGTGTGTACGAGCTCAATGAACCTTGCGCGAGTGACACCCCGGACAATAATATCGTGTACGTGCACGTGCGCGCGCGTCCGTGTGTACGACGTACGACAATAACGCGAGAACTGTGTCCGGTGTTCGTCACCGGGGGGGTTGGTGTCGGAGGTCAGTCGAAACGTTCGGACGGGGAGCGTAGGCGTGACAATGGGACAGCGCGAACGCTGAAATAGGTTTTCCGGCGGCGTTGCGCCGTCCGCCGGTGAAACGGATCGCCGACGGATACCGAAACGTCTTGGACGTAAAATCACGTTCGGGAATCTTTTTGAAATCTTAATGTCGCATCGATTCTCTATGATTTACTGGCATACAAGACCTTTCAGATCGACTACAAAAGTGTCTCGATATGAACGGCGGTCATGTCGAAAAATAGTGTACAATACGACCGTGTAGACAGTATATTAATAAAACACTTTTTCGATTTATCGAGACCTTACTTTTGGGACGAGCCTCGTATTACCTACGGGCCACCCCGTTAACGGTTCGAGACGGTACCCGTTTACACGCGCAATCGTCTCGTGAATTTATATCATCTTTGACATTAGATCTGCAAACGATGCTCGTACAAAGTCGTTATCGCTCGTAGTACTACTCAAGTCGATCGCATATTTTCCGTCGAAACTTATTCGGAGCTGTACGCGCGACGCACATTTTGTCCCTGCTCTAACTCACCTATATATATATATATATATGTATATATAAGTATATTATGTACTCACTATAACAATATACAGTCCGTCAAAAGTTTTACATTTGAATAATTCCGTCGGACTTGTTACCGCTGCGGGGACGGTCCGAGAACGGTTTATCGACGGAAGCCGTAAACTTTCAAACGGAACCCTTTTTTCCGTCACGGAATTCGCAAACGGGACAATAAGTTTAGCGAACCCATTGGCGTACCGGACAGCGACAATATAACATATACATATATATATATATATATATATATATATATACGAGATACGCGTGAAAGAGACAATTCGATATGCGAAATGCCTCGTAAGTCGCGTTCTCGGCAATTGCGGACTTCAACTACGGCTTGCATAAATACATTTAGCTCGTTCGATGCACAAGTTACGCGGTATTAGATCGGTACGTGACGGTTTTGTCGAAAAAAAACCCCAGGACCGGCCGACCGAGTCCCGAAAGCGGCAAAAAAAACTATCGCGTTTTCGACAGCACTTTTTCACGACGAGTCCCGCGCGTTTCGCGTCCCGTCGATGGTAATCCGTCGCAGAGAAATTTAACGCTCGGCCACCTCTCGGTCCGAAACTGCGCAACGCCGGAAACTTCTTTTTTGATTCGAAACCGTTTTAGAACGGGTAAATCGTAAGAACTGCCCTGTAAATATCGGTAGTCCTCGGGTCGAGCTTCAAGAGTGCCGCGGGACTTGAGCGCGTTAATCGATGGTCGTTGTTTTAATTTTTTTTTTCGCGGTACGATAAGCACACGGAGCTTACGTATGCTGTATCGTGTACCATAAACAAGGGCGTTTAACACTCGCCACACACACATGTTGTCGTGCCGAGGGAACGTGTACACACACACACACACACACACACACATTTCGGACCTTGTGCACACACGGCCGTGTCGCAGTGTTTAACGATAGGCGTAAATTTTCAACGGCGTTACAAGGCGCGCGCCAGCGTGTACGAACGGGACCTCCCATAAAAATAAATACATATACACACGCATACAGCGTGCGCATAATGTACACCCATGTTGTGCTTCCACGTAGGTCCGATGCACTCGTGTTCGATATCGACAAGCGGTACGCTCCGAGAGTTGTTTATACGGGATCGAAATAAATTGCGAGCATGCGTTTTTTTTACCCATAGGTGCAAACGGATTAGCGGTGACTCGTCGCGGCTTTCGGTTCGTTAAAAAAAAAAAAATAAAGAAAAAAAAAAAAGAGTTAATCTAAACGTAAGATGATGTATCATCGACCAACATCCGTGTGTGTACGCAGCGCTCGCGATGCATTGAAATAGATTCCGTTTTCTGCACTGTATAAAACACGGATTTTCTAGAGAGAAAGGGAGATAGAGAGAGAGAGAGAGAGAGAGAGAGAGAGAGATGGAAAACGAATTGTAAACCGTTTCGTCACCTGGTGACGACGCTAACCATGGCTGCGGAGGCGGCAGAGGCGACGCGTTG